CCCGCCCCACCACCCCCTCCCCACCGCCCACCCCGGGGCCCTGCTTAAAGGGACAGGGCCCGGCGGGGCTCTAGTCATCAGCTGGCTGACCCAGGAGCCTCGGAGGGGTGCCCCACGCTCTGGGTCAGGGAGGACTCAGGCTCTGAAGTCCCTGGGACCCGGATTGGGGCACCTCTGGGCTTTGCTGTGCCCCATCCCCCGTCACGCTGTGCTGTGCCCAACTCGGCTGAACTCAGGTGCACACAGAGGCGCTCGGCCTGCGTGGCTTGAATATACCCCGCATGAGAGGCAGGACCGTGGGTGGGGCATTACACTGGGAACCCCAGGAGGGAGAGACTCATGCTGGCTGGAAGGAGCCTGCCGGGGGACTGCCTGGAGGAGACGGCACTGGAATTGTGCCCGGGACAAGCTGGCGCGTCCTGCGGGGGGAAGTGGGGAATGAATGGTCTGTGCAGATGAGGCACAGAACGGTGGGTGATGGAGCAGAGACTGGGGGTAAATGGCCCAACAGGTTACACAGCAGGGAGAGGGTGACCCTTGACTGGGCCCTCGGGGACTGGCCGCCCCAGCAGAGCACGGTGGGCGCGAGCCTCGGCCGGGGAAACCCGGAAGACCCTGCCAAACGCCCACCCGGTGGAAGAGACAAGGGCCTGGGGTCGAGGTCCTCTGAGGTCCCCAGGGCACAGGAACTGCCCGGCCAGGAATGTCTCGTCAGAGACCGGAACCTGGACAGGGCAGCAGACTCTGTGGCTGGTTTCCTTCCCTGTGCCCGGAGGCCAGAGTATGACGTGGGCTCCCAGGGGGGTTGCCTCGAGGTGGAGAGGGCAGAGCTGGGCTCAGCCCCCCCAGCTGACTGGCGGCCTGGGTCGCAGAGCGTCAGGGAAAATTAGCGATCCCGCGTGGAGATACAGACTCCGACCGCGATGGCATGCTGGGAGTGGGGAAGGAACCCTGGCCCACAGTGGGCCCTGCCCCAGGGCCCCCGTTAATGTGAGCTCTGAGCCCTACACCCTGCCCCTCCGAGGGTTTTGCCACCCGGAAGAAGAGGGCTCCCAGGCCGTAGCCCCAGGCCGCCTGCATTTTGATGGGTGAGGGGCCTCGCGGTGGCCAGTGGGCTCTGGCCACCCCGGACAGGCAGCCTTTGATTCAGGCTGACCACGGTGGCCTGGGCCCCCCTGTCCAGCGCCCACTGCCTGGCTGAGAAGCAGACATCACAGAACCGGCGGGGGGGGGGGGGTCTCCTCCCCACCTCTGACCTTGGACCCCGAGGGAAGCTCTCTCCGGTTCAGGCATAACGGACACTCGGGGCCCCTAAGGAGGAGAGCCCTCGGCCTGCGCTCAGAACCTGCCTTCTCTAACTAGAGACGCATCTCCAGGCAAGAGGACTGAGCTCAGGGAGCCACAGTTTTCCCACCTTTAAGATGGGGGCAGTGCCCCCTGCCCTGGCCGCCTCCTGGACGTGGGGAGACGAGTCGGGGTGTGGAGAGCCCTGCATTTGCCCCAGATGTTTATGCAGCACCGATGATGGCTACACTCGCCTTACCTCCTGTCCCTCTGGGCAAAACGGAAAAATCCGGATTCTCACTCAACCCTGATGACCCCTCACCTCCCAGAACTGGACTTCACGGGCCGAGCCCTCTTTGCTCGCCAGCACCAGTCCCGGGGTGCAGGGTTAGGCTCACAAGTCACATCTGTACCCGGTTCCCACAGGTCGGGGGTGGGGGGGGCACCTTCAGCCTCATTTTCAGACTAGGAGTCAAGGCCCAGAGAGGGTGAGTGATTTGCCTGAAGCCACACAGCCGGAAGTGGGGCTGCCCAGCCAAGCCCGGCCTGCGGGACTCCCAGCACTCGGCTCATTCGGGGAGCCGCTTACAAGCAGTGCTGGGCGGGCCCGGTTCCAGGTACCGCCAGCCTCTGGCTGCGACTGGAGAGAGCTCAGCACATGCCCGAGCAGGGAGACCGAAGGGGTGTGGGCCCGGTGCCACCCACATCCCTCAGGCCTGCGGTCCCGGCAGGCGGTGGCCCCCACTGCTGACAGCAGCAGAAATCTGAGCCGGCAAAGGTTCCAGGGGGTTCATGAACTGCCTGGAAAGTCGGACTGGGGTCCGGCCAAGTTGGATGGGGGGCCCTGGCGACGCAGACATCCGGAGTCCCGCGGGGCCTGGGAGGGGGCCACCCCAGGGCCAGACCAGGGCAGCTCCGAAGGGATGGCCGGGGACCTCTGCTGTCACCTTGCCCGATCACGGCACTAGCACAGGCTGGAGGACGGGCCAGAGCCGGCGGGGGAGGGGACGGTGGCCTCACGCCAGGGCATTGCTCTGGGTGAGGGCCCAGGGGGCTGGCTCAGGTCTGGCTCAAGTGTCACGTCAGAATAAGTGTCCTGACATCTCTGAGCCTCCCGGCCCACCCGGTGGTATGGCGTCCAGTGAGGAGACTCCACAGTAACCATTCTTGGGACGAGGGAGCCCCCTCCCAAATATCTGGGTGTCACCGGGCTGAGTGTCGGGCATCCCTGAGGGGCTCTGAGCCTGGGGGGGGTCCTCGCTGGAGCTTCCTCCCCGGGGGGCGGGGGCGGGGTTCGGGGCACCGCTGGCGGTGTCTGGGTCTCATCAATGCGCCTGGTTGTTCCCGCCAGCGCAGGTCTCCACCAGCTGACCAGCCCGAGGTACAAGTTCAACTTCATCGCGGACGTGGTGGAGAAGATCGCGCCGGCCGTGGTCCACATAGAGCTCTTCCTGAGGTGTGCGAACCCCTCCTGGGCACCCCCCACCCCCGTTCTAGCACGGGGGCGGTCGAAGCCAAGCGCACGTGGGGTCCGGCAGACCTCCCCGACACCTCCAACTGCTGACGCCCTTGGGGAGGGCGGCCCCTCTCTGACTCTGGTCTCCCCGCCAAGGGGGGGATATCGACCTCATAGCGCCAGGGCGTGCTAAGCAGGCGCACCGCGGAGTCAGCTCTGGTGGCCCTGAGACTGTCAGAGCTGCTTCTGGGAAGCTCCGGGGCCCCAACGGCTGATCGCTCAGGGCAGTCCTGAGGTCTCCCGGGGCGTCCTGTACTCCCCAGAGAGAAGACGCTGACAGTGCGACGTCTCACGTTCAGGGTTCCTCTTCCTTGTCTTAACCTCGTGGCCCCCGTGTGGGAGGGGGCCTCCAGACAGCCCAGATGAGGCATGCGGGGCCAGAGCCCCGTTCCCCAGCACGCTCTCCCGAGGGGTGGAGGCCGGCCGGTGCCATTATGCCAACACCAAGGCGCAGAGGACCGGGTGGCCCCCGGTCCCTGGGGGTGGGCAGAATCCCCCACACCCCGATTCCTGGCCCCAGCACGGGGCTCCCTGCTCCCTGGGTGTGGAGCTTGCCCGGGGGGAGACCTCGCTCCTGGACGTCACTGCCCCCCATCTCTGGAGGGTGAGGACAGTGCTCACCCCTGATGGTGCTCCACGCGGCAAGCCACCAAGGGCATGAGCTCACTGTCGGAAAAGCAGTATCCCTGGACACCTGCCGTGTGCTCCGAGCCCCCTCAGCTGCTTTGCCTGCATCTGTCTAAGCAGCCCTGGTGAATGCCCACCTCTTAGTGGAGACAGCCGGGCACTCACAGGAGTCACCCCAAGAGTCGGGCCCGGGGGGCCCGCCCCTCAGTGCTGACTGAGACTGTACCCCGACAGACTGCTGTCCCTCAGGGCTGAGCCCCAGAAGCTAAGCTTTGATGTTCCCATTTTCTGGGTGTGGAGCAGAGGCCTGGAAACGTCTCTGAGCTCACAGAGCGGCTGAGTGCCAAGTCGGGGTTTCACCCCAGGTCTCTCAGACCCCAGAGCTGACCCCTTACTGCCCTTTCTGCAACCTCCAGACCCTGAGACATATCATTGAGGAAATTATAACTGGACACACTAAGTGGTATGTCCCTGGCCTTGCCAGTGGCTCAGACGAGGACCGTGTATTTCCAGAAGGCTCCGGGCACCAGGCTTCGAGCCAGCCAATTGCTGACTGTAGCCCAGTCTGGCCAGGTGGCAATGCCATTGCCACATCAGCCTCCAAGGCCGATGTCCACGTGGGTGGGTGGGTGGGTGGGTGGACGAGACCGAGCGGGCAAGATCCCAGACACAGATGAGATGCTCATCAAGCTTGGGAGCCTTGGCTGTGACCCCGGCCTGGGCGGGGAGGCCCCGGGGCTGCCTCGGGCCCGCCTCGGGTCCCTCCAGCAGACAAGTGCCAGACCCTAGCCGTGGGTGCAGGGGTGTGGCCAGGTGCAGCCCTCGCCCAGGGCCACACGGAGCTGGGGGGCGGGGGCAACGGCCCGTGTGAGTGGTCAGATCCCGTGGTCCCCCTGGGGCCGAGTGCCCAGGCTGCCTGCTTCAAACCCCTGCTCTGCCCTTTGCCTGCCTGACCCAGAGAAGTAGTTCAAGTCCTGGGCCTCAGTTTCCCCACCTGCAAACTGAAGGCCTCCTACCATGTAGGGTGGTCGTGAGCATTAAATCACTCGGGGAGTCTGGCTCGGGGTGCCCGGTGGCCTTGGCTCTGGTCACCGGTCCTGCCCGCCGAGGTGGGTCTTGTGCAACCCTCACTTCCCTGAGAAAGCCCCCACCCTCGAGTTCCTTCTCTCCTGCCCCGTCCAGGCCCCTCGGGGGTCCCAGAGGCGACCTGCCCCAGAGAGGGTCCTGAGCCGCGGCCGTGGTTCCCTCTTGGCCCTGCGGGCGGCTGGGCGTGGTCACACATCAGGGAACTCTGACCCCTGACCGTTTGCTCCTGTTCACGGAGACAGAGGCCGGGCCCGGCGTCTGCTTGTGTCTGAGCACACACCCCGCCCTGCACCGTCCGCTGTCCCCGCCGCCCCCTGAGTCCCCGGAAGGATGACACCTGGTGTCATCATGGAGCAGAGCCTGCCCCCAGCGCTGCCTGTCACACCGTCTGGGGCTTCCGGGCAGGTGCGGGGCAGGGGAGGGACCGGGCGGGGTGGGAACGCGACCGCCCCAGCACTGCCCCTTCCCTGCACGGTCCGATCTGCCCCTCCGCGGAGAAGTACCCCCCTGGGGACCCCGGCACCTGCTGCGCTGTCCCCCAGCCCTGTTTGTTGAGTGGCTTCCTGCCCCCAGGCGCTTTGGACAACAGGCGTCACACCCAGCAGGGTAGATGCCCCATTTCCTAGCTGGGGAGACTGAGGCTTGCCCACGGCCAGGCAGGTAATGAGCAGGACGGCCCTGAGATTAGAGTGCCGGCCTGTCTGGCTCCAGCTCTGTGCCCGCCTGTCCTAACAGGCCTGCCAGGCGTGGGCCTCGTGTCCCTTCCCGGCAGACTGCAAGTCAGAGGTCACCGCCCCCCCTTGAGGCCGTGAAGAGGGCCCGGCGTTAAGTGAGCAGGCCAAGGCCGCAGCCGAAGGTGGCGGGGCTGGGCCCGAGGCCGGGGTGGGGGTGGGGGGCCCCGAACCGCATTCTCTTACCCCACACGGGGCTCCGCTCCCCTCCAGCAGGCCCCCGCCTGCCCTGACCCCCCCCCCGCCCGCACTCGCTCCCTGCAGACACCCCCTGTTTGGCCGCAATGTGCCCCTGTCCAGCGGCTCGGGCTTCATCATGTCGGAGGCCGGCCTGATCGTCACCAACGCCCACGTGGTGTCCACCTCCAATGCCGTCTCGGGCCGGCAACAACTCAAGGTGCAGCTGCAGAATGGAGACACGTACGAGGCCACCATCAAAGACATCGACAAGAAGTCGGACATCGCCACCATCCAGATCCACCCCAAGGTGAGTGGGCGGCGGGCGGGGCAGGGGCGCCTTCCCAGGCCCCAGCGCTCGGAGTCGCCTCGGCCCGACCTCCCTGTGGGACGCTCGGAGGAACCGAGGCCCAGCCACGGGGCGGGCCAGCCTAGAACCGGGGTCTCCAGACCCCCCCGCCCCTGCTGCCTGAGCTGCCGTGTGCGAGCAGAGCCGGGCTGAAGCCCACCAGCCAGCGATGTGCCCCCAAGTCGTTCGCGAAGGGGCGTCCTCCAAGGCCCAGGGACGCTGCCTGCGTCCCTCCCGGCTTACTCCAGGACAGGCAGCTTCCCCCGTGGGGCTGACGGGACGCTGGCCCGGAGCTCCGGGACATACGCCCCGGTCCCTCCACATCCCGTCCCCCCAGCTGGCCAGGCGGGGCCCACAGCGGGGCCACAGCCGTCCCGCATCACCGCCAGGGGCTGGCACTGTGCCTGCGCCCCACCGCCCTTGACAGAAGGGGCGTCGGTGTCCTGCTGCTTCCGAGGGGACACTGAGGTCAGAGAGGTTAAGTCACTGCCCAAGGTCAGGCTAAGCCGGGGCAGGGCACGTCCAGTGTTGTGGTCGTGACTCTCGGTGAGGGCAGCCTGCCCCTGCCGTGAGGCCGGTGACCGGGCGGCTGTCTGCGCTGGTGAGTCTGGCTTGGCTGACTTGGAATCCGGCTTCCGCTCTTTCTGAATGAAAGTGTGTGGTTTTGGTGATAATGAATCTTTTGTGAGGAGGCTCCTTCTTGCCCGATCCAGGGAGGAGGAGAGGCTTATCCCAACGGGGACCCTTCCCCACGGCAGTTACTGAGCCCGGGGATACCACCTCCGTTCTAAAGATGGGGAAACTGAGGCTGGGGTGGGGCACGGGGTGTGCTCAAAGACAGAGGCTGGCAAACGTCTTCGGTGAAGCTCCAGACAGTAAGCACTTCGAGGCTTTGTGGGGTCCGGGCCCTCTGGGGACGCCTCGCAACGACGCAGCCACCACAGGCCACACGAGCCCATGGCCGTGTCCCCATAAAACTTTATTTACAAAACAGAAACAGGCAGCAGGCTGCATTTGGCCCGAGGGCCACAGGGTGCAGCCCCTGCCGAGGACCCCCACAGGGTGACACAGAGCCAGACTGGACCGCGGGTCTGGCGGTCGCCGGGTCTCTCCTGTTCCAGGCGCCGCGGCACAATCCCGAGGGGCACACGCAGCAGCCGTCCGTGGCCCCAGGGGTGGGTGGACTTTAGTAAGGACTGCACGACCTCCCAGCGGGAGCTGCCTCAGCCCCTGGGTCCCGCGCGTGGTGGCCCCCCCAGTCTTGGGGGGGGCTGCGGCCCCGCGGCCACGCGGGCAGGTGAGGAAGGGCCGAGTGGAGCCCTGCCGGCTCGCCTCACCCCCGTTCACAGGTCCCCCCGTTTGTACTGGGAGCTGCCCTGGGACAGAAGACCTTAAGTGCCATGGTGGCTGGAGCAGAAAGAGGAGGCCACTGCCAGGGAGGAAAGGGGAGTGACCACACAGAACCGGGTGCTCAGAGGGTCCGAGGTGTGGGGTCCTTGCCCAGAGCTAGAGGGAGGCCCCCCGCGATCGGGACAGGACGGTCGCCGGCACCTTCTCTTAAAGCTTTCTGTCTGCAAGTGACTGCCGTCCCCGGGGAGCCCCCAGAAGCAGTGCCCCTCCCCGGTGGTGGCCTCGGACGTAAGGGGTGCGACACCGAACCCCCAGATTCACGGAGGTGCTGGCGACGGGGCCTCGGCCGCCGTGGATTCCACGTTCGCCACTGTGCGCACTCGGGCACCTTAAGCCCGCTCAGGAGCACCCCCTCTGAGCGTGTCTCCTGCAGCTTCCGGAACACGGAGGCGACCCCAACACGGCTGGCCCTCAGAGCTGCCGGCCCAGCCGTGGACTCAGACAGACAGACGGGCCGGCTCCACGTGAAACTGGAGTGGGCAGGCGTCTCCGTGGGCAGGGGGTGATGGCAGAGCTTGGCTGAGTCACCTCGCCGCTCTGGGCCTCAGTTTCCCTGTGTGTCTACATCGGGAGATCTGGTTGAGCTGGATCAAGGATTCCAAAACTAGGGCTCCAGAGCCCCTGCAGTCCTAGGCATCGGTCTGTGTGTGATGCATTTTTGACGGCATTCGTAGCCCCTGTCAGACTTTCAGAGGGACCTGTGGCCACCGAACCACTGAGCTCGATGACCTCAGAGGCTGTGCCCAGCCGGACCCCGTGGGCCTCCTCCCTGTGTGTGACCCCTGCAGCCCACCTGGGGACTCCCGTGGTCACTGGTGTGGCTGAGGCTCTGTTCCAAGGACTCCAGCCCGGGTCCCTCCTGCTACGGGTCAGCTGGAGGCCAGCCCGGCCTCCGTCTGAGTTGGCAGCTTGCCTTGCCCTTCACCCCCGATGGGTGTCGCCAGCCGCTCCGGCCCTCCTGGGACCGTCCCGGCCTTGATCTGGCTCCAGTCTCACCCAGGGCAGACAGCTGAGCCTCCCTCCCCGTGTCCCCCCTGCAGAAGAAGCTCCCGGCCCTGCTGCTGGGCCACTCGGCAGACCTGCGGCCCGGCGAGTTTGTGGTGGCCATCGGCAGTCCGTTTGCCCTGCAGAACACGGTGACCACGGGCATCGTCAGCACGGCCCAGCGGGACGGCAAGGAGCTGGGCCTCCGGGACTCCGACATGGACTACATCCAGACAGACGCCATCATCAACGTGAGTCCTCGCGGGGCCTCCGGCGGGGCTCGCTCCCCGTCGCCCGGCCCGCGTGCTAGAAAGGTGCTTCTTTACGCTGAGCGGAGCCTGGACTCCCTATGACTTCTGCACGCGGGCGCCAGGCCCGCCCTGGGAGTCGGCGGCTTCGTTCCTGACCCGGGCCAGCCCTTGGGGGACGCAGAGGCGTAGCCGCGCCCGAACCACTCGCCCTGTCAGCCTCGCTTTTCTCGTCCTCAGTGTTGCCACCGAATCGGGGGGCTCACGGCGCGCTCTGCCCAGGCGCCCCACACCCACCTCTCTGGTTTGCCGTGGTTCGGGCTCTTCTGGAAATGTTAGTCTTTGTAGAGACCCCTCGAGGCGGGTGGGGAAGAACTGTACCCCGTGAGGCGAATCTGGAGGCGTGTGGCGGGTGCAGAGGGCTCTGGCCCAGGCCAGACGGCGTCCACGTGGCCTCCGGGGCCTCAGCTTTCTCACCTGTGAAATGGGGGCAGGAGTGAGGCCTTTCGATGCTGTTGGGGGTAAAATCCGAGTACCCGTCTTCTGTGCTGGTTAACAGGGAGGGCTCAGGAGACAGAGCTTCAGGAACCCTCGAGGGGCGAGGGGCTCAGCTAACGTCTCGTTTCCTCCTTTGCAGTACGGGAACTCCGGGGGACCCCTGGTGAACCTGGTGAGTGTCCCCAAGTCCTCCACTCACATGGCAGCACGGCCCCGAGGCGGGGATGGAACTTCGAAGATGCGCCTTGAATCTTCGCACCCGGTGGCTGGGCTGGGGGCCCCGGGGGAGGGCATGACCCCAAGTGCCTGTTGCCCTGCCCCCCCAAGCCCCCAGGGTTGCTGAGTAAGGGTGACCCAGAACAGCAGCCAGGCAGGGACCACATGCCCATCAAGGACCTGGGGCAGGGGAGACACAGGTCACGGCCGGTCACGGCTCTGGGCCCCCCATCCTGGCGTTTACGTGCAAGGGTGTGGGGGCGTCCTCGTTCCGTCCCAGCCCTGTTGGGTCACCCCTGCCCCAGGTCTGCCCTGGGCCCCAGAGTTAGGCTCATTCCCATCCCAGGGGAGATTTCCAGAATCAACCCAAAGTTTAGTTCAGAAATCAGTTCGGCTCTGGGCCCTGAGAATTGTTAGATGCCCTCCCGCCCTGGGGAGCTCCTGTGGGCAAGTGTGACGTGAGGAGCAGTGAGGGGGCTCTTCAGGGATGCAGGCAGGGAGGGCTTCCTGGAGGAGGGAGCATCTAACTTGCACTGTGGAGACCGAGGGTCTGGGGTTGAGAGGGATGTGCAGGGGAAAGATGGTCCGGGGAGCAGCACAGCACGAGCAGGAGGGGTCGGACGCTAAGCGGGACGAAGGCCGCAGCACTGGTGTTCGAGAAAGTTGTGCGGGTGGGCTTCAGGCTGGAGGCCAGAAAAGCCGGCGCAGGGGTGCGTGCTGGGTATGGAGAGGAGTGCCTTCCCGGGAGGGTGTCAAGAGCGAGGTGTGTCCGGGGCCC